CCCCGCCTTCAGAAGCACTACTGGATTGACTTTTCAGTTTTGCATCTCGACTTATTTTGGCATTTGGCTGGTCCTCCTGTTTTTTTTTTTTTCTGTGTGTGTGTGTGTGCGTGTTTGTCGCCCCCCCCGTCGTCTCTCCTCCCTCCCTGCATCTTCATCTTCCCTGCAGACCCATACTGCTCTCTGTGGTTATGATAGTCAGCGGTTGTATCATCGCGGGGACCGGAGATATGAGCTTCAACCTGATGGGGTACCTGATGGCGCTGATGTCGTGCTTCCTACAGACAACGTATCTGCTCCTTGTAGAGAGGTCGGGCAAGGAGAAAGGCTTGAACTCGAACGAGCTGCTGCTTTACAATGCCGTACTCTCACTCCCTGTGCTCCTCGTTCTCATCGTGGTCACTGGCGAGTCCAAATTGTCGCTGCAAGCGATCGTCAGCTTGTCAGAAAAGCACCGAGAGTTCTTACCGCTGCTCCTCGTTGCCCTCATCATGGGCTCGTTGCTCAACTACACGCTGTTTCTGTGCACGCTGTGCAATTCTGCGCTCACGACGACAATCGTCGGCGCTCTGAAGGCCGTTGTCTCCACGGTGAGCGAAGCCTTCCTTGTATCCTCTTATCATTTTATTAATCTTATCCACACCAGTCATTTTCTGTTGTTGGTGGTTTGTTTTTTTTCGTTTCTTGTCTAGCATCTCTTGATTCAGTTTGGAGGAAGATTGAATTGGTTTCACTTCGCTTTAGTTGCTGTTCTTTGTTTTTTTGGTTTTCGTGCGCCGATGACCGCAGTTGTTGGTCCTGTGAAAGGTTGTTGGTTGTGGAATGCGAGGTGATGACTGTGTATCAGCCGCCAAGCGCAACACGCAGCGGGGTGCAGACCCTCAAGCACGGAGATGTATCTCCCACATTATGTGAATCTTGAAAGCATCACTCCTCAGAAAATAATAATGCAAGAAGCACCAGGAGTTTTCCGGCATAGCTAACGCTTGGTGTAATCAACGTAGCCTCTAGAAGAGGGCGATCAGAGTGAAGAGCGGGGATAGTAGAGAGAGTGGTGGCACACTGGCATCCCGCCTACCGGTTTCAGATGGCGCCAGATCCAGCCGCATTCAAGTGCCGTCGACCTTTCGAGATGGAGTACTGCTCGCTCCCGTCTTCACCCGAAGCCAACGCCCGGTCATTATCGCTGCATCTGGACCGAAAGTTGTGCCAAATGCAGCTATTATAATGAGTGCGGCGGGCGTTCTATTCGGTTGAAGACGACAGTAGTGCCTGCTGTATACGATCTGCTCCCAGCCTTCTTCGTTCGAATCCCCCCCCCGGCTTTTCTGCTTTTCCCAGTTGTTTCACAGTAATCGTCTTATTCAGTTCAGGAGACTTCACGTTCCAGCGGACTTGAAAGTTTCACAGTGTCCAGGACACTTGAAATTTCCAGTGGACCTTGAACTGAGTTACAGAGTCACAAAGGCGGGAAAAATCTCAGGAGACTTGAAATTTCCAGCGGACCTTGGAAGTTTCGCAGTGCCTGCAGACAGCACGACATCAGCCCCGTGAAACGTAGTATAAATACGAAATAGTTAATACTATAAAGGGAGTTCAGGAGACTTGAAGTGTCCCCCAGCGGACCTGAACTCAGTTGCATAGGAAAGGCGGGGGAAAAAATCTCAGGTGACTTGGCAAGTTTCCATTGGACGATTACGGACTAATAAAGGCTTTTGCGAACTGAGTTATACATAGTGAAGGCGCCTGGCAAATCTCAGGAGACTTGCCTTATTCCGTAATCTTCCTCGATAAATTTGAAATTTCACACAAGTCACCTGAGTTTTTTTTTTTTCCCGCCGCCTTTACGATGTAATAAGTTCGTTCAGGTCAGTCCCTCCTTATCAAAACAAGAAGTCTCTGGCAATTTTGTGCATACTTTTCAAGTCTCCTTTCTCATCGTCTTCCGTGAATGGTGCGCCTTTTTGCTTATCCATGTTCAGCGCTTTTGCAAATTTGTCCAAAAGCCAAAAAGCCTGCCTGCCAATTTTGAAGACTTCAAGTCTCCAGCCTGCCTGCCAATTTTGTGCAGACTTCAAGTCTCCTGAGACTTGAAGTCTTCAAAATTGGCAGGCAGGCTTTTTGGCTTTTGGACAAATTTGCAAAAGCGCTATCCATACCCCTATCCATGTTCATGGCTTTTCCAATTTTGTCCAGCACTTCAGTTTTGTGTCCTCACAATTTTGTGGAGGGCTTTTGCGGAGGGTAGAAATGAAGAAGGCTTTCAACTAAGAATGGATATGGACTCATCATGGAGGGAGGGGCAAAGGGGGAAAAAGGGGGGGGGGGAAAGAGGGGGGGGTAAAAAGAAAGGAAAGGATTTCAAGTTTCAACAGATAGGAAGAACAGATAGGAAGTTGGTAGGAGAAGGAACTTTAAAGAGCCTGTCGAAATCCAAGACAGAGGGACAAACTTGCAAGTCGCATCCCCAGCGTGCGACTTCAACATTTTCAACAGTACCCTCCCGCCCTATCGTGAGTGGACCTTTGATTTTTTTTTCTTTTTCTTTTTCTTTTTTTCTTTTCTTTCATCTTTCTTCTCAATTCTTTTAAAAGGGCGACAGCCTTGAGATATTATCATTGAGGTGGCCGGTCCCAAGCAATTCATTAGTAGTCGGTTTTACTCATCAAGTTTTATCATCTGGATTCGAACACAGGTCTGTATTTCAACAGTTCCTCGGTGTACCCACTGAGCTAGGATCTTGGGTGGACCTTTGAAATTTCGTGAGTGGACCTTTGAAATTTCGTGAGTGCCTCCCGCCCTATCGAGAGGTTGGGACGCACGAATGCTTGTCCTATCTGCAGGCGGTTTTGTCTTTTCTGGATTTGCATTCGTCGTGAGTTGGTCTGTTCGACAGTGCTGTGTTGCAAAAGGTGGTGGTGGGGGGGTGTTAAGCTGTCGAAAGGGCGGTTGTCGAATTTCGTCTGACAGCTGGGGGGGGGTGTAAGCTGTCGAAAGCGCGGCTGTCGAATTTCGTCTGACAGCTATACCAAATTTTAGGCTTTCAAACAGCGGTGCGGCGAGCCCCAAAACCACAGGAGTATCAGCAGTCATGACCTGACTCCTTGAGAGGAGTGACACCCAGTTCATAGAAAAAAAAAAAAAAAAAAAAAAAGGAGGAGGCGGGGTTAGAAATGACTTTGACTAAGGGCCGCACTCCTCTTCAGTAACTCACAAAATATATGGCGGTGTCTGTATATTTCCATGTTTTAGCCAAAAAATCATTCTCATTTTGCATGGTTGGTGAGTAGTGAAGTCATAAGTACCGAGGAGCGTGAACAGGGACCCCGATTTATTTGATCCAGAGCTACCGTAGGCCGAAACTGTAGGTAGCAAGGACTCAAAGAGGCTCTGTTTTTTGGTCTAATCATCTAATGACGTGCAATTTGACAGCTACTACATGTAACTACAGGCTGGCAGGAAGGAATCAGTTGTATGTTTCAGTTGTATCATCAAACTTGTATGTGTTTTTTTTTTGAACTTTTTTTGGTGGGAAGGCCAGCAGCAAGGCCGTAAGGAAGGGGGAAACAAACCAACACGAGTGCAGAAAAAATCAACCAGAAAGGCAGACTGTACGAAAGTCCGCATGATTGAAAGGAAAGGAGTTACGCATCTCAGTGTTCCCAGCGTACATAGTTCCAGAGTCCCAGTGTCCCGTTGTGTCCCATATTCCCATCTGGCAGGCCGTAAGGTCCGTAGGTCCATACAGGACGGTAGTCAGTCCTTGGAAATCTGTGTGTCTGAATCTGTGTCAGTCGCAGCTTATCCCGGAAGGCCGTTACTTTCGGATGCCGGAAGCCGTCCGCTGCTGCGGGGAGTGGTTCCAAAAATCGGAGTCACGGAGTGGAGGCAGCGACTCAGCGAGGACAAAAGTCCAGCAGCGCTTGGACGCCAACACATTATGCATTAGTATTCAATGCGGAAGCACTGCTGTGGTCTTGTGCATTGAAGCGACCACCAGGAGTGAGGATAGTCAACGGCGCCCAGGGCCAGGAG